ACTAGATAATCTCTAGAGGTCCCTCCCAACCCCTAACAGTCTGTGATTCTATGATTTGGTAATTTCAGCTTCAGTTAGTACCCCCAATAAGCCAATATCTCTTTCACTTTCTGTTGATACCTTACTCTCAAGGTGGGGGTCCCCAAAACTCCCCTTTCACTACATGTAATGCCCAGTAACTTCTCCTGCCATTACCTTATTACTTCAGGCACAGGTTAGGATTGAGTAGCCACTTCTCCTGATCCATTATCGGCAACATCCAACAGTTCATCTTGTTATCCCATGCAGGCTGTGGCTGGCCATCTGCCTGCATGCCTTGACAACATATTGTTCTAAAATCCTATAGCAACGGGAATATAAAAAATATACCTTATGGAGACCTGAGCTGCGAAATTGTAGCTGCTGTTCTTAGATATCCCGTCTATACCTATCACACACATTTTTTTTGTCAGAGTTCTGATTTATTGTGATCTCAATAAGTCCAGAACTTGCCTCTCTGAAAAAAAGTAGCAAAAGAGTCACCGATGCTGGGATGGTTGAAGAAGGTGCCATTTGGCCAGATGCTGTGCTCCGGATGGAATAATTCCCAAGATGCACTGACAATTTGAACTCGGGCTTGTGCAGAGATGCACTCACGTTGAAAGAGGATGACGAAGGAAATAGGTAGAAGAACCAGTGAATATCCTAAAAGCTGGTCTTACCTGAAACCACAAATTAAGCAGCGATTACAAAATTTTCCACAAGCCTTGAATTAATGGAAAATATCCTGACACCCGCTTACAAATAAGAAAAATACTCTGCTGTGCATAGAAAGAAGCAATAATCACAACAGCTAAAGTTTTGCAGCCATGCCTACATGCGGTGTGCGGCACACAGGATCTATTTGTAAGTGCACATAAGTCCATGTAGATAGAAAAACTGTGTATAGGTACACAAAAAATCCCCAGTAGGTCACAGCTAAGGGACATGAGCCAGTTATTTGGGACAAAACACAGCTATGCTGCCTTACCTACATAAAGCAAAGGGAATGAGGTATCTTCTGATCTCTCAGCCTTCTGTTAAATGTGCGTTGGACAGGTGGAAACCAGGATTGTAGAAATTAAAGTACCTTAATTGCGTTCAATCACAGATTGGTTTGGCCCGTTCTCTGGGTACTTTAAACTCAATTGAATATGCGAAGAGTTAACGTGATACTCAGGAGGACTTGGTACTTTTTATGTTAGACCAACTAAATCTTCTGAGAAATCCTTCTTATGTGAACACTGCTGTAATCATGGCTGTTCAGCCAATAACCAATTCCTAAAGTGTCTATTACTGTGTCATGGATATCTTTGAAAAATCTGAAACACAAAATATAGTATCATATTCTAAAAGAAAAACAAGCATGTCTCCTATAGACTGCTATGCGCCATGTAGATCATTAGGTACTATGTGTGTAGATTGCTATGTACTATGAGGTTATGTAGTAAAACATTTCTGCAAATTGTTTGAAAACTATAGCATATCAGTACATTAAATGCAAAAGTTCTCATATACTTAATCAGAGCACAAATAGGCAACTCTACAAAGAGGTAAATCAGTAGACGCTTTATTGTGAAAATTAAATACTTCAGTTTTAGTACTAATTGCAAAACCCCTGACAGCTTATTTCTGCCTTCTTGCCCTCTCTTAACAAATTAAATACAATACAAATGCAAAATCAGTAGTACTCCAAAAAAGTGAACTATGCCAACTTGCATTTAAAGTTGAATATTAAAGTCTTGGTAAATGAGCAGCTGTAACATTTAACAGCATTCTAAATGTAGTCTGCTCAGACCACTGGTCCCAACTCCCGAAACGCAGCTCTGCCGCATTACTAAAAATGTGAATAGAAAACTAGAGGAAAACAAAGACTGTTTACCTAAACAGCCAATTTGGTAAGAATTTGGCCTGACTTCAGAATGAAGTTTCCTATTTCATTAACAGGCTTAAAAACTATTTGCAGTGAGGACTTCCAAAATACATGGCCAGTAGATACGGCCCAGTCATTTCTTGAAAGAGCTCAACTCCAGACAGAGTTTTATTCTACCTGTTTTCCCACCAACTGTGGCTGCAGAGTTGCAGCTATGCTTACAGTTGGATTACAAGAGCCATCTAGCAAAAGCACAGGGTACGTAAGAACTTTTTAGTATGGTGAAGCATTACTTGCTAATTGTTCTGGACAAAAACTTTGGGGAGCGATATGGGATTGTTTTGGTTTTTACTCGAGACAACCAAGCAAGACTATTACTGCACTGATGAATGACCTGCCCCAGTTTATCGGACAGTAACACTGGATTGTTTCTCTATCAGGACAATCCCAAGAAGAAACAGACACAGAACTACTTATAGCAGTGAAGATGCAGGCTCTTTTCAAAATGTCCTGACAGACAGCAAATCAACAGATTGCACAGTCTGAAAGCACCAACAGGCTGCTACCTCTGTGAAGAAAATGGAAACAGTCACTACCTCAGCCTAGGGCTACTGCTGGACACAAAGGAACAACCTGAAGAGGACTACTGTTGTAAAACACCCCACTGGAATCTATGTTGGCTGTTTTTCACAGGGTTGGTGTGCTGGATAGAATTTGCCCACCAAAAAGGCTGCTTTGTTCAACGTTTTGCAGTTAGGGTTGACGTCAGTCAGCCTGAATCCTTTTGGCACAGATGCTGGGATGGCTGGCTACGTGTTTGCTACAAAGGCTTCTTGCCTTTAACTTGTCCTCTCCGGCACAGAATAGTTTGCTCCAGTGAAAGCAGAATTTAAATAGGTCAGTGCTCTCTCCTTTGGATTTTATCCTTTGTCAATCAATGATAGGTGAATGGATGGAGAAGAAATGAATGTTCTACCCTAAATCTCCAGTTTCTGCCCCACATTTTCAGAAACAGTGTTGGGTCTGGCGACAGATTTTCTGCAAAGACAGTAATTTTTGTGCCACAGATCTGGGAGGAGTTTTAGGATCTCAGAGAAGTATCTCCTTCTACCTATTATTAAGCTTTAGAGCACTGCTAAATGGCCTGTCATGCAACCCAGGACTTTAGATATTGGGGGCGGGGGGGGCAATTCTAGACATACAGAGATTTTTTGACATCTACATAAACAAAACAAGGGGTAGGTTTTTAAGAGTAAAAACAATGCAACAACGTCAGTTGTTCAACTAGACAACAATAAAGAATCTATTCTAAAAAAATAAATCTATTTCCTTATCACCGTGTACTTCTAAGTATTACCACCCATCAGGCAAGCACAAAGTGCTGTAATTTGCAATTAAGAAGAGTAGGTGAAGCGTAATAGTCTTTGGGGCCCACCACCTTGGCTTTCTGGCTTAAATATGGCTAAAATCAAGAGTGCCTGTATAACGAGGCATCAGTCACTAAAGAAACTGTGGCCTTCAAAAATGCAATAGGCTTTTTCTTCCAGTGTTTTTCTTCCACATGCTTGTCCTAAATCCCACCGCTGCAGAAACTGGGGCTTTCAGATGTCATCAGGCAAAACAGAATATTCCCCTCATTACCGGTACTCTGTTGCCTTTTATGGTCACGCCTCCAGGAGCGCCATTTCCAAGAAGTGCTCAGCATTAGCAAGGATGGAGCCTTCTTCCATAGCTCGTAACTGGCTACACAGCCCTCACTCGAGAGCTACATCCAAAGCAAAGTGTTTGAAAGAGGATTCTTATTCAGTTCTAGATAACAGCAGGAGTGGCTTTACCCTAATGTTGGGCAGAATGGTGCTTTAGAGCCAAGCAAACCATCAGGAATACTTGGCACGCTTTCAAAGTTCACACAATGCAATTTATTCCCTGTCTGAAGAAACGAAGGTATCATCACACAGGAGTTCACAGGTTGTCATCTCAGTTAGGACGCGGATTTCAACAGTCCTTGAAGAGTCTGGTAACATCCTCAAGACAAGTTGAAAGTTTTACAGTAGCAGAGAAAAATGCATTCTGTGACGGACGGCACTTTAGTCTTGAATTGGAGGCCTATGGATTGGAGCAAATACAGCTGCCCAAGCCTGTCGGAAGAGCTGGACCAGTTTGTAAATGAATGGCAGTGACGTGGGAGAAGCTGCAGAACAGAACAAAAAGCAAAATAGCCTGTGATTATAAAAGGTCAAACTAAGATACACTCAACATAGTAAGAAAGAACTAATCTCGATGGAGCTAATCAAAAACTAGTTGTCTTCTTTCCTTCTGTTTGGTTCAGAACACTTGGGTTCACCTGGGCCTTCACTCAGGTCACTGCCCACATCCATGGCAAGCCTTCTTCAGTATTTTCCAGTAGACTATTTGCAGAACAGTTACGGAGCACCTGCCACCCAGCAGAAGGGGAAACACCCATCCCACTCCCCACCCCAGCTGCCACTCCGGTATCCTGGTACCAGCCCATTCCTCAGCAACAGCAGCAGCCACCACCAGTGAAATCAAATGCTCGACTCCCTTGCTGCCTGGGGCAACCCTCTGCTTTCCTGACAAGACAGCCCTGGAAGGCAAGCACTCTTCCAACAGATATTCTCTTTGTAGCACCTCAAGGTGCTTGAGCCAGAGGCTGAGTCTAGGAAAGCTCAGCCTGTCTGCTGGAAAGAGCCAAGGATGGAGAACCCGAGGACGGAGTAATCATTTATAGAAAACTAGCTTTTGTGGAGCTACATGTTTCTACATGGTTACAACTGGAAACATTAGAAACAAGCCAAAATAGTAAGTTCTTAGCCACCCAGTTTTTGTGTCTTCCAAACACAACACATTTACACAGATCAAATCTATCAAAAACAACCATTTTCTTCTCTGTAACTATAATGGGATTTTAAAAAAAAATCTTAATGCTCTACCTGGGTCTAATCTCACCACCACCAGATACAGCAGAAAAGTAGCCAAGAGCATCTTTTTGTAAGGGAGTAAATAGAAGTGACTAGACACGGATCTCAATGCTCTACGTAGCAATGTCATCAAGGTCAACAGCTTTTGGGACAGAGCACCTAAAATGCAAGAGCAGAAAGGCTGTTAGGGCAAAGTAAAGTAACAAAAGGAATCACACAGATACAAATAGTAAGAAAATAAGATACTTTAGTTGGACTGTTCTTAGTTTGATTGCATGAGATTTGGTCTGGGTTTTTTTGTAATAGGGAACAGAGAAACAGTACAATTTTACAATACAATTCATTATACCTTTTTTTAGGCATCTACTTTAGGATAATATGGTCTTACACCACAGTAGTGCTGGATTTTCTCTCCTGGGAGATGAAGTGATTTACAGTCCTGGAGGAGAAGCAGTACTTTAAGTGCCAAATGTGCATTGTTCTACATAGGCTCAACTCTAAATGGAGACGAAGCAGAGAATACACAGAACCAACAAAATGTATCCTTAAAGGATTGCTAGTTAGTTTTAGTTTCTCTTTTGTACCTTTTTTTTAAAAAAAAAAACAAACCAAAACAAAACTAAAAACCTACCCAAAACAGTTTCTGTTGCTGGGTCTTGCTGCTCTTCAGCAGCTGAGCGCATCTCTTCCTGTTGAGTCCACTGACATCGTCTTTCACAAATAGTCCCAAGAAATGCCAGCTGCCGCTCGCTGTCGAAAACATCACAGCCACGTACAAGCTCTTCTGCCCCTTCAAATCGGCCAAGCGGAAGCAGCACATGCAACAGGTAGAGCTCCAGCAATGAACCGTACTCGGGGAGGCTCTTGTTAGTTTGGTCTCTCAGCCAGCTACTGCCAACCTCCAGCATCACCTGGGGCTCCCTCACTTTGCTGTACAACAAGATACTGAAATACAAGAAAGAAATATTAGAAAATACTCTTTGTAAAAGTTGAGATCGCTGTCACTTACTACCCACAAGCAGCTATCACGAAGACAAGTACCAGGGTCTATGCTTGAAGCACGAAGCGATTTCTGAGGTGGACAGTAAGTGCAGTCACTGATGTTACTTTCTTAGCATCACACCTTTTGTACTTTATAGAATCATAGAACGTGTTGGGTTGGAAGGGATCTTTAAAGGCCATCTAGTCCAACCCCCCTGCAGTGAGCAGGGACATCTTTAACTACATCAGTTTGCTCAGAGCCCCACCCAGCTTGATTTTGAATGTCTCCAGGGATAGGACCTCCACCACCTCTCTGGGCAACCTGTTCCAGTGTCTCACCACCCTCATAGTAAAGAACTTTTTCCTAACATCTAATCTAAATCTAACCTGCTCTAGTTTAAAACCATTGGCCCTTGTCCTATCACTACACACCTTTGTAAGCAGTCCCTCTCCAGCTTTCCTGTGGCCCCGTTCAGGTATTCGAAGGCTGCTATAAGGTCTTCTCGGAGCCTTCTTGTGTCCAGGCTGAACAACCTTTATCACTACAAAGCAATCAGTAGGCCTGTGGGCGTTCTCCAGCACAGATGGGTTGAGAACAGGCCTGTCCTAGCCTCTGCTTTCATTCCCACTTAGACTGTGCAAAACAAAATTATCGCACACTATTCAAGTCTGGCCTGCTATCAAGGCCAACATAAGCCATGTGTGTACCTGACAGCTACAGACAGAACTCACCACAGCTCCAGAACTTTTGGAGGCAGATGTTCGGGGGCATGGTAATACCGTAGGACCCAAGACAGAACTTCTCTCCACCGGTTCATTTCAGCCAGCGCCTGAATCCCCACAACACAGAGGGAGCATTTCACTTCTGCAGAACTGGTAAGGAAGAGACACCTAAATAAGTGCTTTGTATGACCATGTTCCCCCCTTGCACCCCGTTCCAGCAAGCTGCAGCCCTGCCTCGGTACTCTACAGTTCTCTGGCTGCCACTTCCCCTCCCCTCCCTCTTCTCATCCTTGATAAAAATACAAACCCAACCACCTTGAGAAGATGCACTGAGTCTGTATCAAAGGCGCAGGGAAGGCTGCCGGGCACACCTCATCTGCCTCAGCCATGCACAGATCCCGTCACTTGAAACACATCAGTAGGGACAGGCTGAGATCAAACAGCGGCCAAAGCCAAGTCGGGCTTTAAGCAGTTACTAACTCTGTTTTTAGCAACAAGCACCACCCTCAATTAAATTAATGAGGAAAGAGGAAAAAGCAAAACTAAGCCACAGCAAGGACCACAAGTGCTACTGCCATTCATACAGATAATAATCATATTTGAACCCAAGACGTTCCTCCCCCCCCCCCCAAAAATAATCTCATTAAAATGGGTAAACTAAACCCAAAAAACACCCTCTATAAAAAAAATATAAAGCCATAAAGGGGGCAGACAGGGCCTACAGCTATGCAAACCCAGCCTAAGGCTGGCACTGAGCAGCTCCCCCGCTCCGCATGCCCGGCGCCCC